CCCCCCCCCCCCCCCCCCCCCAAATTTTTACATAACTGAAGAGAACATGTGTTTGGTAGTGACGGTTTTAAAAGTTACACACTGATTTTCAGACTTTGGAAGACATTTATTGAAAAAATGATGGGAGTCAGCGACTTACCATGCAGCCATGTAGGACGGGGGTGCAGTACTACCCCCCTTCTCAGAAATTCAGGGGTCTGGCTAAAATCCAGACTCAACCAGAGCATTAAAACTCTTGTGTTTCGGTAGTGACATGAAAACAAGGGACACTATTTTTTTTAGCATAGTTTCTTAATTTAAAAATGAATCCCACAATACACCTAAATCTTTCAACTTCTGTTTAAACTTAATCACAAAGATGTTTTAAATCACACTTTTGAAAAAAATATGAAAAATGTTTTAAGTGTTATTTACATGAATTGAATTTTAGAGGTCAGGGTTGGGGACAGCTACTTCCCAATAGAAAGTACCCTATAAATGGTGATTTTTTATTTATTTAGCTTATCACTTTCTCATTTAATGTCCTGGGTTTAAATAGGCCATAGCATAATCTTTGTAAATATTTATGTCTGAATACTCAATTTTATTATTTTTGTTGTTTTTTTGGTAAGGGACAGCACTTTGCACAAAATCGGTAGAATGCCCCATATATATATATGATATTTATGGGTAGAATGGCCATTCTATTAAGAATGTAACACCCAACATTATGCAAGCACAGAATCTAATAAAATAAATAAATAGGCCTACACATGCTATGCATATAAAATATATTTTATCCAAAAAATGTGTGATATATTATTTAGTTGCGTAGTGTGAATTAATAGCCTAATTAATTACATATGTGGAAATAGCCTGTGTCGTCCTTTGTTAACCATTTCACATACAGATGTTAACTTACTCATTTCAATGCCGCAGCCGCAGTGAAGGGTGTGCAATAATTGATCCAGGAGTAGCTGCAGTGCGCAATAACAACCAGCAGGTGGCACATGTGAGCAGTTGAGATGCAACGTCCAACTGAAACTGTTTGAGAATTAGCAGTACTGTTATATTTTCTGCCGGACCTGTACAGTATACTAACTCGTTACACTGTCTTAATTTCATAAAGGACATTTATACTATGATATTTCCACAAGGGTCATGTCCCCTATTATTTAGCCTAATGATCTCCCTCAACAGTGTCATGATGTAGAACTGCAAATGTATGTGTGACATATAGGGTATTTATGTGTATCCGTCCGCTAAATTGTGACATTATTTTATGCATATGATATCGATTTTGTATCTTCACAGATCAATTTAAAGCATAACTGATTTGAGTAAAGGCACGAGAGTTGGCAGTTACACCTAGAGTAAAGCTACTGAAGACCAGCAAAATGTTTTCATTTATTCTTTCAGGTGGGTAAATGTCACCTAAGCACCTTCAGATTTTATCAGTAGTGATAATTTGTTTATATCGTTTGTACTGTGCTTCGTGATATTGTTTGAGGGATCTGTAACATAAGATAACTGCATACGAGTGGATGCAACCATCACTAATGCTAGCGTAGTTCCTCAGGGATTTAAGCTGTTATTACTTTAATTTTGACAATCTAACCTGTGACAACACATTAGCTAAGGTTGTAAGGACTGTCACTGTTGGTAGCTGTTGTTGAGTTTGTTAAAATATGTTGAATTGTAATTTTATGGGTTATTGTTTGTCGGACGATTGAGCTAAGCTAACTAACGCTAACGTCAGCTGTCACTTGTTGCCGTAGGAACGTAAACATTCACGTATGGGCTAATGGGATGTGGGAGTGCAGAATCAAGCTTCACTGTAAATAGTTAAGATACATTGTAGGCCTGTTTAACACAGGGTGTGGGATTCTAGTAGGTAGTAAACTTTTAGAAAATAGCTTAATTTGTAATACCATTTAATTTATTGTAATCTTTGGGTTTGGCTATTGTTTTCTATAAAATATACTAGTCATAAGAAATGGGTTGCATTGCATAATGTTGGGTGTTACATT